CAGGAGTCCTGGGGAGCAGGGCCGCCGCGCCCAGCGACTGAACCTGGGGCCCTTCCAGGTCGGGCGGCGTCCGCCCCGGGGCCACCCCGGGGGCCCGAGCGCAGCAGACGCTGGGTCCGAGGCTGCCGCCCAGTCTTCGGAAAGCAGCTCACCAGCGGCGTCCGCCGCCTGCCCGGAGTTGTCCCCGTAAGAGAAGTGTTCCTTCCTTCCCAGCCCTGTGAGCAGTTGCCCTGCCCGTCTATGGTGAACACCCCAAAGCGGAAACCTTCCCGGTGGCTGTAAGAGGGGTCACGCGCCCGCGGTGTGTCTCGGCGGCTGGGCGTCGCCCTGGGAACCTGGCGGTGGCCCTTCTGTGCCAGGCCTGGGCAGTGCCTGGCTTGTAGCCGGGTCCCCAGGAGGGCACCTGCAGGAGACAGCCCATCCAGGACTCTCCTCATCGACGGTTCTCCCTCTCCTTCTCCCTTCCTCTCTCTGAAATCAGTAAAAACATATATATTTTTTTTAAAAAAAAAAGAAACGTTATTTATCTGCTGGAGTCATGCTCGTTAAACCTGGAAAGGGAGCATCCCATGGTGAGGCTCAGATTCCTGGAGCACAAAGACTGCTTCAATCTGAAACCTGGCCACTGGGGGCTATCAGTAGGGACCTGCTGCCCTGGCCAACAGGTGACACCCCAGAAATACCCCTCAGGGCATTGAGGCTTAGAAGAAAATATAAAATGTAATCATCATTCAAGAGATTCCTGCCCTGGCCGGTGGCTCAGTTGGTTGGAGCATTGTTTCATGCCCCGAAAAAGGTTGCAGGGGGCCCAATCCCCGCCTGGGGCCATGTAAGGGAGGCAACCGATGGATGCCCCCTAACCTCAGCGCTGAGTTTCCTCTGTGCATACATGTTACAAGGTTTATGCCCCCACCCCAAACAAAACAAAGATGTTACTATAAGAAAATGCCATTGTTGTAAGTAGTGCTGAAAGCTGTCTCCAAATCATTTTGTCTTTGTCTTTTCCAGTTTCCACCTTATGAAGAGCCAGACTTGTGCTCTGTCTTGTTTCTTGGCTTGAGGATCAGCATGTGTGCTGAGTCTCATCAGTACAGGTGCCCCAAAGTTTATGAAGTTAGGAGGGGCTGTCCCAGCCCCCTTCAGCATCTCTCTCCTATTGGATATTTCTGACATTCACTTTGCCAGTGAGGCTACGGACCTAACACTTGGGGACTGTGAACTTTACAATTAGAAACCCAAAACCAAAATTTACTACGGGTTACCTTGAAAAATCGGAGGAACTGGATAGCATCCTTTGCAAGGAGAATGGGGAAGGAAGTCAGTCAGAATTTATTTATGGAGGGTGCAGGTCAAAAGCTCAGGTTTGCTTTGTTATGATCACAAGGAAATGCTGTTTTATGCTGAAACTTCCTAAATTGAATAACTATTTTTTTCTCTCTAATTTTCACTTTTGGTATTTTTTTAATGTGCATCATGCAATAATTAAGAGCTAAATAACTCAGAACAAGTCATAAGTTATGTAAGCAAGACCCAGCGGCAGAAATAACAATTAGCAGTTTTTCTCTATGCGCCTCTCCCACCCCCTAGACTCACTATCCTCAGCTTTTCGTGCTTCGTATCCTGGTATGTATGTGTGTGCGCTTTAAGCAATATAAAGTATTCTTGTGTAGGATTTTTTAGTCTTCATGTAATTATACTCTACACTTGTATAACTGGCTTTTTCTCACTCAACATAATATCTGGGAGATTCTAACACTTTGAGAAGGGTAGCACCCGTTCACTCGAGGTCACCACGGTGCAGTACCCCACTGCATAAATACACCACATTCATGCACCCATCTCCTTTGGACATGTGTTTCAAATTTATCTGTTGCTCTTAAAAGTAGTGCTGTGGTGCAGGGTTTTGCAATGTCCTCTGTGTGGGTTTGTGAGGAGTTGGCTAGTGAGTGAAGTTGCAGGATCATTGGGTAAGCGCATCTTCAATTATATTAGAAAATCCCAAATTTTCTCCACGTGTCCTTTAGAGGGTAAGGGTTTCATGCTCATGTGCCTGCCAAAATTTGGTGATGTCACACTTTTACATGTTGCTAGCCTTGTCAGTCCAATGACGTAAAAGCTTTCTTCTGATTTTATTTTGCATTCCCCTATTTACTGTTCAGGGGGACGTCTTTGGCCACTCCTGTGTTCTCTGTATGAAATTCCTCTCATATGTTTGCCCTTTTACCTGCTCCGTTTGCCTTCCTCTCATTAATTTGTAGAGAACTCAGTAAATTCTACCTCTGATGTCCCATTTGGTTGCCTTCAAAGGGAGGCACAAATATGCCTCCTTGACCTCTCCCTGACAGGAACTCAAGCCCAGCAGCACCTCTTATTTGCAAGATAGAGGTGATTAGACCCACTTTTCAGAGGTGACATTTGTAAAACTTCCTTTGCAGAGTATCTGAAGTTAATAGATCCTCGATGAACTCAGAATCCTTTATCATCTTCCCACCAACTCCTCCTTGTCACAGTCTTTCCGATTGCATATATTTGTGTGATGGGAATGTCCTTAGAAGCTTATGCTATTAGTCACAAGCAATGGGTAATGAACTCTCTCAGTTGGATTATGTTTATTGTAAAGTGAAGCAACTTCTTCTACAGATTCATTACCTCCTCCTGAGACAGGTGTGAAGTGACCACCTGTGTTAAGGAGGCCTTACTGAGCTCAGATTTGTTGAATTTTACCTTCAAGCTGTTTGATCCTTAAGCCAGGATGAGATATGTATTCAGAAGAGTAGCGGGGCAAAGATTTTTATTAAAAATTACATACACAAATGTATATTCTGTATAATGCATAGTAACTTTTATTTGTTCTAACTAAATATCGGCTGATTTCCCAACCCTGAAGAGAAAGTTTACAGTGAGAATGAAGAAGAAATATGTTTACATGTCCTGATCAAATGTTTCACCAACAACTATTAGGCTGGGGTAGGAGGTTGGGGCTCTACCAAGATCTTTACACCTTTAAGGCTCTAACATCCTTACATTTTTCCTGAGACACTTGAGAGTACATAGCAGACGCTCCATAGGATACTTTTGTTGCTGAACTGAATGAACTTTAGAGATGGAAGCAGCAGCAGCAGGAGCGACAGAAGGGTGGTGCGAAAAGCATTTGGTTTCCTGAGGTTGAGATCTAATCTCTCCCTCACCTCCCACTCGTCAGTTCATTCATTCACCCTTCCTGCTATGTCCGGGCGGCATTCTGCGTGCCAGAAACCAAGCCGTGGCGGACACAGCCTCTCAGAGCTTACAGTCTAGTGTGCAGCCTGTGGAGTGGGGAGCGGAAGGTGCAGGCGGGACACTGAGTAAGAAAATTTAAAGAGATGATTTCAGGTTCGTGAGAACCACGAAAGGCATAAAATGTGATGACATGATGGAGCGGATGTCGGGGAGGCTTCACCACAGCGTGACAGTGTAGCTGAGGCCCGAGGGTGATCAAGAGCCCATCAGGTAGACACCAGGGAAAGACGTCTCCTCGTAGAAGCAGCAAAAAAGTCTCTGAAAGAAGAAAGTTTGGAAAATTCAAAGTAACAGCAATGAAGCCAGTAGAACACAGCGAGTAAGCAGGAGTGTCGAGTAAATAAAGCCACCGAGGCAGGAGGAAGTCGAGCCAGTGGGCGATAACAAGAAGGTTGGATTTCATTCCAGGCAACACTAAAAACGGTTAGACCATTTAAAGCATAAAAGAGATATAATCTAATTTACCTTTTAAAAATATCATGTTGACCATTAAAACCCCACTAAAATGGCTGGTTACAAAGACTGACAATACCAAGCATGGCAGGGATTGTAGAACCCCTGAAGCTGTCACTCATAACAGTGCTTAGGAAAACTGTGTGGGTTACCTACTAGAGCTAACTCAGCAAACCCACCTTGAGGGCTACACCAAATAGAAATGCATACACATACTCACAAAAAAGACCTTTGCTAGAGTATTCCTGGCAGTAGTGTTCATAATATTAAAAAACTGGGATTTACCCAAGTTGCCATCAACAATAGAATAGGTAGAATGACATTAGTGCCATCATGGGGAAGTGAGATGACCCTTCTGTGTCTCCCCTTCAATCTACAACTAGTTGGACATTTTTAACCCAACAAAGTTTCCTCTGCTCAGCACACTCAGTGACCTGAAAGATCCACACATCAGTATATCTAAAGTGGGTGTTTTGGCACATATAGTGGGGGCAGAACAGGGGGCAGGACAGAGATGAAGGCTGTATCCCCAGTTACCTTGGCTCAGCTGCAGCCCCAGGGAACATGATAGAAAAGGAGTTGGTGTGCAGCCCCCACACCACAGCCCAGTGAATGGTGCCGAGGGCAGAGAAGTGTCAGCAGACAAAAACCTGGCTCCTTCCTTTGACTGCGGTGGTGCTCACATCACCAGAGAGCCTGGTAGCAGTGGCAGAGATGCCACCTGTGGTCATAGGAAACCAGGCAGAAGCATGGCAGACTTGCAAACCCAGGTCCTCCACACACACACCTGCCACATCCGCCTTCCACTATAGTGGTGGTGCCCTAAGACCAAGACAACCCAGACATACCTATCATCCTGGTCACCCAGGCATCCAGGAACCTCAGAGAAGCAAGCCGCACAGGGGTAGGAGAAAACAAAAAGTTGCACTATAGCACCACCTACTGGGAAACAAACAAAAAGACCTTTATCAATCTACTGAATTGTTAAAAACAAGGATGTATCTGCTAAGGGGCTAATTTCCAAAGTATACAAAGAACTCATAGTACTCAGCAAGAGGAAGACAAACAACCCAATTAAGAAATGGACAAAGGACCTGAATAGACACTTCTCCAAAGAGGACATACAAATGGCCAGGAGACACATGAGAAAATGTTCAGTGTCACTAATCCTCAGAGATGCAAATTAAAACCACAATGAGGTATCACTTCACACCTGTGAGAATGGCTGCCATCAACAAATCAACAAACGACTCCTGCTGGCCAGGGTGTGGAGAAAGGAGATCCACAGCATACTGCTGGTGGGAATGCAGACTGGTGCAGCCATTGTGGAAAACAGTATGGAGGTTCCTCAAAAACTTAAAAATGGAGCTGCCTTTTGACGCAGTGATCCCACTTATGGGAATATATCCTAAGAGTCCTGAAACACCAATCAGAAAGAATATATGCACTCCTATGTCTATAGCAGCGCAGTTTANGCAGTGATCCCACTTCTGGGAATATATCCTAAGAGTCCTGAAACACCAATCAGAAAGAATATATGCACTCCTATGTCTATAGCAGCGCAGTTTACAATAGCTAAGATCTGGAAACAGCCCAAGTGCCCATCAGTAGATGAGTGGATAAAAAAGCTTTGGGACATTTACACCATGGAATACTACGCAGCTGTAAAGAAGAAGGATTTCATACCCTTTGGGACAGTATGGAT